TGTACTAATCCACTTTTAGTATTCTCTCTCTCCCTCTCTCTCTCTCTCTCTCTCTCTCTCTCCTCTCTCTCTCTTCTTTTTCTACGTAGATATATTATTTCATATCTAGTATAGTTTGATTACTAGATTGCTATGATGACCTGTTTTTAGCAGACATAGTTTATGTTTATTTACATGTTTATGTCTAGATTTGTATAATCTTTTGCTTGATTAAGACTGATTCACACTAATCTAGTTTTAATATCTTCTACCCATTGCCTTTACTTTCCAACTTTCCCTCTCTCTCTCTCTCACTGTTATGTATATGTACATGTACGTTAACATTGTATGCAATATTCATTATTCTCTTTCTCTCTCTGTTTCTTCTCTCAGGGTTCATATATCATAGCTAAGCCACGCCCAGTCGATCAGTTACAGTTCATTTTAGAGCAAACGAGATCAGGCCAGGGACAAGCTCTAGAAGAATTTTTTCATCTCCATGGGAACATGCAGGCCTCCGCCATGTGTCTCATACTAGCCACAAGACCAAATAAGGAGGTACGTGGGATCTATCATATGTTGCTAGGTGTGTTCCTCTTGTTGCTAGGTGGCTCACTGGGCGACTGAGGCTTATTTCAAGCACGGAGGAGAACCTCATTTTATTTTTCCAACGACTCTCGGACCTAATGGGGCGGGGCCTTCTCCGAATCAGTTCCAGCAGCAACCCTCATCGCCATTTTCTAGTTTTGTTCAAGCCCCACCTTCTTTGGGCGGGGCTCTCGGTCGTCCTGTGATTGGTCCGGAGGTACAGTTGTCAGGGAAACACAACGGACTCATTTTGTACTTGGCACGTCTTCTTCGTCCGCTGTGGAATGTGTCTGTTACCATAGAAGAGAAAAATGAAGGATCCGGTGACATAAAAGTAAGAAATTATTGTTGTAACGTTCAATTTTTGGGCCATTTAGAAGGAAAAAAAGATTTGCTTTATACTCTATCTTAGATTTAGGCGTGCAAAAAGAAAAAAAAACCAGGGAGCACCCGGGATTGAACCGGGGACCTCTCGATCTGCAGTCGAATGCTCTACCACTGAGCTATACTCCCTTACACGCTATACAGCTGCTTAATTAACCGGTTTTATTCTCAACAGGTACTGAGTCACTATGACATTATGGAGCTGGCTGTACTA